TTATCCACTTTCCTTTCATTGCCTGCCTGGCTCCACGCTGCCGAATTCATCCCAGCAACTCTGCCAGGAGATGAGGCCCGAGGACAGAAGCTAAATTTAAAGAGCTTAACGTAAACAGATTTCCTCCTTGGAAAAATAAGGGATCGTATTTGTGATCAAGTGTCTCTCAAGCAGCAATCCAAAACTGGAGAGTGGGGTTACATTAGGTGGGTCCAGGACTGGGTAATGCAGTTTCAATACCAGTTTGTTCCAGTTCTGCAGCAAAACATCCTTTAGTCAGGCTGGGATTTCACTGCAGGGAAACAATCTCCTGTAAATATTGGGCTGCCTCCAGCTCTTGTATAAACTGCAGCTTGTTTATTTACAAAATAAAATTATTTTCAGTCAGAGAAAAAAAGGAGGAAAAACGTTTGGCATGTTTCTATTAATTGCGTTCGTTAATTGCTTCTAAAGATTATGTATTATTGCAGGCATAAACATAGAAATAAATTAAAATAATTAAAATACTTTATCATTTACTCTCAGCACAGAGTGATCTTTTTTATTCAGTCCCTTAGATTTATGGGTACATTCAGATTACAAAAACTACCAATTAATTAAAAACTGAAATCTGCAAATAATAATATATATAAATATAAATATTTTCTCTACCAGTCGAAACACTAAAGCAGTGATTCCCGGCCTTTTTTCGTGACCCAATTTTTTTCACCAATATGTAAATGAAGGTGTCATGAAGGTGTCATGAAGGTGTCAGAGGTCATGAGGAGTTTGTTTTTTTCAATACTGTTCTCACTAAATGTCACAGAGTGAGTTTATGAAAAAAATATCAAAAACACTTCTTATGTACTATCTTTGTTGATGGGAAGAAGTAAACTGTGAGTATTTGTGGACACAGATGGCCATGATTTTTTTTCCAGCCCAGGGTTTATGGCTCATGCATCTGTTGGTGTAAGGCCTTGCCGTTTCAGTCCATAATTTAGTTGTTCATTAGTCTTAGGCAAATCTGCCCATATACAAGCATGGAAACTGGGCAGCAGATGTAATCACACTCTGGTTTCTAATGGGAAAATATACAACATTCATACGCTTTGTCACACTTTATGGCCCTCCATTGTTGATGGATGTAAGCCCTGACCTGGGGGGTGGGGAGGAGGATGCCAGGGCACGATACGCTTCCCTCACTTCTGCGAAGTTGCATAGAAGGTACCATAAATTAGGCCGTTTGTGTCTTCTGTTATTTCGCCATCATTTTGGAAATAAGCTGGAATACGGCCCAACCAGAGGCTTCGACCCAAAATGGAGTGAAGGACGGAGGACTCTGCTCCTCCTTCATTCTTCCTTGCTTCCTCCTTGAGGATATATTTATGTTTCCCAGCAGACTTGTTTACTACAGGAAAGAAGGATCTAGTCTTGCCTTTTGTTTTGAGATGTTCTGGATAACTATACTGTATAATCACCTCATTAAATTTATTGGATGGAGAGTGGGGCATTTTTACTAAATGAGAAGAAAAAGAAATAATTCCCTGACAACAATTGTTTTCTGAAGAAATGAGACACAGAAAGAAAAGGGAAAATCACAGGAAACGATAAGCGAAAACATAATTGTTTTCCCAGAAGTGCCATCTATGAGCTCTTCTTAAATGTATTTGTTTTTGTCCTCACTGACCACCTCTTCTCCTCCTTTCCTCTATTTTTCTTTGTTCCTTCCATCTGTGGTCTTTTTTTTCTTCACACTCATTTGTATTGTTCCATTCTTCTTCTCCTCTTCACCACATCCCTCTGTCATATTTATTATGACTGGTGTAAAGCCGCTGGAGAATGTGCCTCTTGGGGAGACGACAGGGTGGAGGAGACAGTGATATCTGGTTGGTGCTTTACTAGTTGGCTCCCATGGAACAGGAAAAGCGCCATCTGGGGGATTTTGACACCTCATGGGTGAGAAGTGAGTGGCATGATGACAAGAGTGGGGGGGCAAATGCTGGGGATAAAGAAAGGCCAGGTCAGAATGTGGATCAGGGTCAATGGCCTTGGGTGTTTTTTTATACATACACAGTAGATTTGCACAGATGTGTAAACACGTGCTCACGTGTGTCACCTAAAGGGATCTGGCCCAGTGTGTTCTGAAGTATTCAAGGCATGTTGGCAAACACATTAGCACCTTTATATCCTCAAGGAACCTTGAAGGTGACATCCACAGTAACAGACCTCTTCACGGTGCATCCATATTTATATTTCACCCACTCATACGCACACACACAAAGACACACTCCCCCTTTGGCGAGGAGGCGGGGATGCATTTTGGGCACCCTGCTGTCATGTTTGGAACACGGCTCACAAGCAGAATAAACACTGTAAAGAGAGCGTGATGCTGCACCATAACAGCGTGTCATCTCTCAATTAGCCTCGGTTCATTTCATTTCCTCGGCACCATTAAAGGTCTATTCTGGAATGTCACGGTCCCCACTGTATATTTAACAGTAAACGGGCAGCAAAGTTTTGCAACACATTGGAGCCTAGAATTTTCTTCCTCCCTCTGCAGAGTTAACGGCATAATTTGCACTTTATTATTGGTCATCACAAATCCACACATGTTCTATCATGTCTAATCTTTTTATCTTAAACTGACTTTGTATTTTTTTTACACTCTCTTAACATGTTGTTCAAGGTCAGCTGGCATTGTTGGTAGGAAAATGTAAGCCAAGTTGTGACCTGCATATTAAAAAAATGCATTCCAGCTGATGCATAACAGAACTGAAGTGGCTGAATGATAGAGCATTACTTTCTTCAGACATGCTCAAAATATCACTACCTGTGCTCTGCAACATAAATGGATAGATGGAGCACAAATGCAGGTTTAACTCTGTAAATGTCTGGTATCTTGTTCTTTAAGTACAGCCCCGATCATTTTGTTGTTAAATCCAAATGAACTCAGACAAACTTCAGCAGAGTCTGGGTTCCTTAATTTTTAGCTTAATGTTATGGTCTTGTTATATTGAAGGTATAAAAAATGATATTAACATGTGTGGTTAATGGAAAAAGGAATATAACTGTGTTACCAAAAAAGACATGTTCATGTTCCACAGCACGTTTATTAATATTTTGGGTATGCTGAGAGGGAAAAAGCATGGTCTAACACCTTGCCGTGTTATATGCAATTAATTACAGTCAGAATTTATCCACTTCATTTCATTTTCCTCCTCGTAGCACAGAGTGACCTTTAACAATCTGATTTTGTCTTGACAACAGCCTGATCGGCTAAATTTAATTTTCACAGATGACACAGTACATGGAAAATTTTAGAATGTGTTTGTTCTTACCCTATCTGCAGACACACAGATGACACAGTACATGGAAAATTTGGTCTTACGCTATCTGCAGACATTTTTACGATATCATCCATGTGGAAAAAACTCGTAAAACAATTTTTTATGTGGAGGCCTCACACATCTCATAAAAGTGACTTAGGAATGTTCTAAACAACCAGTGATAATGGTTTTATGGAGTTTAATCTTGATGGCCAGATCTGATCATTTAAGACCGTTAAATAAATCATCGGAGGCGGAATCTTTTTTTTTCCCTCCAGCCTTTGCGCTTATCTGTATTGTTGCAAACCTGTCCATGAAATGTAGGAAAAAATGTGACCCGTGCCGTCACCATCAGAGGCAGAGGAAGGAGATAAGGCTTCATTTTAAAGGTGGCTGCTGTGGGCTGCTCCACATTCTGATCAGGTGTCTGTGTGTTTACTGGACGCCCTACCTCCAGACTGTGTGACTAAGTGGCTGCCAGTGGCAGCACCGTCACAGTCCAAGGCCACGGTTAGATGAAAGTTTAGTCTGCTTGCCTCGTATTGATCTACCTCCCATCTGCCGCTGTGCTTTCAGCTTTATCGTGTCGTATTGACGTGTTCTCAAATGGCTTTGACACAGAGTACGTGCAGATGTTCATGCTTTGCAGAGCATGCACGCAAAGAAGAATTTTGAAAACTCTAACTCTCACTTCTGTCGGGCTTATATTTATTTCCATGGCCCCCATTAGATGACTAATTCGGTCACTGGCTTTGTAACTCTTCTCATCTTCCTCCTCCTGGGTGGTATCGTACTGCCAAGGTCAAACTAATCAGCTGAAGCCAACCTCTGGAACCAGAAAGAGAAAGACAGGATGAGAGGTATTTATGGCACCGCAGCTAATTATAGACACAGGGTGCCATGGGCGCAATTGATTGATGTGGGTCTGTGTGTGTTGTTGTGACTGTTTGTCTGGAAATGTCCTGTTTATTTACTAATCTCCACTCGTACTGTCCTTTCCTTTACAAACATGTCTAAACTCTGGAACTTTGATGTAGTAAAGCTGGCCCTGGTTCATTGAGTTTGTGCAGGAATGTGATTGGATAGATTTTATTGTTCATCAAATCAGGTTGTCTAAAGCTCAGATACGGCTGCGTTACCTGTTACCAGGCTACGTTATGAATACATGTCTTCTATTTTATTGGTTCAGGGCAGAAATAGCAGGTGTTGACGCTCCATGCACGTGTGAGATATGTGTGTAATAAAAAGTGACATGCATCTGTGACAACAGCTGCCTGTGTCAGTTCACATTTCAGGTTAAACCTGCAAATGCAGCAGCGAGTCTGAGCACAAATCTTCATTGTTGGGATTGATGGAGGACAAAAGGTCGTGGATCAGCCAGTGCAGGAACACATGCACAGATACAAATGTTAGTACACTTCAACCTGCCCTTCACATACATGTCCTGCTCTTTCTTCTTCTTCTTTCAAAGACTTTTTTTTAACCCAACTTTTGCAGCTGACCTTTAATTTCTCCAACGTAAGGTAGTCAAAATGAATCTGATGTTCTAAAACAACTCCTGACATGTTCTACAAGCGACTGTTGAGATGCACAGTTTTGCATATTTTTCTTGACATTCTTCCATATTAATAACTTCATCACAAAAAGTCACAAAATTTAATGTGAAACATAACTCTGCCTGTCTTTCTGGAGAGCAGAGTTTTTGTGATCTTTGGAAATGGTGATTCATCAGGATTAATCACGATTAATTGTCAGCTATCTTGTAAAAATTCAAATTTTATACGGCTCCATACCGCTCATACCGCTGACATGTTACCGCCGTTGAAGCCCAGCAGATCACTGTGTCTGTCTGCTGTTAGGATCAACAGCCTTGGACAAGGAAATTCAATCACTCACTGTGGCACTAGCCCACGTGCGACCCCTCAGTGTATACCCCACACACACCTCAGGATTAGTGCAGTCAAATCAGTGCACGTGATCCATCTTGATCACTGGCATTTCTTCACCGTATCGCTGCCGTGTCGTAAGTGTTGTTGAGGAGTAAATGGTACCAGCAGGCTAACTTTTATCTTTCGTGAAGTTAGCCCATGAAGTGCTTATCCACACACACTCAGACACATTCACCGTGTTATTGCATCTTTTTATAGTCTCTCATATTGATGCCAGAGTGCAGGCCAACTGGTGATAGTGAGGCCACTCATGGTGACTGGAGGACAAGAGGATGAGGATCATGAGGCTTCTTTATCTGTAAACATCCTTCTGCAGCCAGCTGTCTTATCCGTGCTTGTTCCACTCTCCAGTCCAACCCCTCACTCAGCCACTGTTTTGTTTTGTTTTGTTTTTTCTCCTCACTCAGCTTTTATTAAATTGCAATGATATCAAGTGAGCGTGTTTTATAGCCGAGTTTATGACACTGTAAATAACTGGAAAACAAATATTTTTGTTTGATAGTTCGACAGCAACGTGCTGCGCAGATTTAATTGGATTATAGAATGATCAACAGCAGGAAGTTGTAACAGGAGATGGCTGAAGGAAGTGATGGAGAGGTTGTGCTGAAAAACAGTGAAGTAAAACCCACGCGCTGTAATTATCGCTGAGAAGAAATATGGTGAACATCACAAGATCATCACCTTCAGACTTGATGTGTTACACATTCAGTGGTGTGTGTACTACGATGGTAACTAGCAGTTTACCCAGTTAGGGATGCCTTTCATACTGGATTTTTTTTCTTGTTACCCAAAATCATTTTCTTAAACCAAAAATATGTTTGTGCTAGAAAACTGTGTAGCTCAGCAGTATTCAAAAATACTCTGGCTCACACCAACAACCATGACACATTCAAAGTCTCCTAAATCACATTTTCTGTCCATATTGATCTGTTTACTTCAGCAGGTCACCTTCTCTACATGCCCTGATACAGTAACAGGTGTATATTTGTCACTATAACAAATGTTTACCCCACTAACTAAAGTAGGATTTATCTCTATATTGTCTAGGACAATGATTCTCAGCCGCTGTGCCATCAGAGATCATCTGATGTACTGTGGGAAATTATCCAATTTGACTTTAGTTTTTTTTCTATTTCTCCTGAGCATTCTAACCCCTACATTTCCAAAGGGGGTAGATCTTTGTATGCTTTTTAATGTTCTTTTGCTAATTGAATTTTTCAAATGTAGTACACATGTATTGCCTCATTAACACTCCATAGAGAGAAGTGAAACAATCTGAACACATTACGAATTTACTGTTAAACCTGAACTCAATTAAAATCATGTACAGTTCATATCATTCCATACATGTCGACCTATGACCTCCAGTTTTCTCAGTATGCACCGCCATCATTTATCTGTAGGCTGTTACGTTTGATAGAGAAGAAGTTAACGCTGAATAGCCTCAGTGTTAATCATGTGCAAAGTCTTCATAATATATTCATATTTTTGCCCCAGAGCTCAGCACTAAGCTGAGGACAACAAGGCTCATTCAGGAATATTAATAGGTGTTTTATAACCATGTGTTTAAGGAATCTGTTGAAGTGTTGCCTGCTGGAAAAAACAATCATGGAATTATTATCTGATCGTACTGAATATACAGGGCTCAGCATACCTTGTTAAGAGGAGTGCAAACCTTGAAACCAAAAATTGTATTCCTTATTATTATTAATTCAGTTTCACCATATTAAACATGTGTAGTAAACTATGTTTAACCCATTAATGTCCTGGACTGACCTCATCCATTGTTCATGACATGATCTGTTCTCTACGTATTAGATATTTACTGTTTACATAAAGCTTTTACAGAAAATAAAATAAAAAAAAAAAGATCTTCACATTAGGAAAACAGACTTGTGTTTTTGGACACAGAACAGTATATGAAGTATTTAAATATTCTTTTTTAATTCAAGTTTATTTGTTTGGATTAAATCAGACTTGTTTTTGTTTGCTGTGTTTACAAATGACAATGTTTCCGGATGAGTCCAGCATGCTCTCACACGTCACTGTTGAGAACAAGTAAGTACGGACCGTCCCACAGATTAGTTGAACTCCCCCCAGTTCGTCAGTGCATTGGTCAGTCCTCATTACAGCCACACCCCTATGTAAAGATGGGTGGGTCAGCTGGTGGGCTCAGTCTGTATAAAGCTGGATGTCTGGGCTCATGTAGTAAACACTTGACACACGACCACAGCCACAGACGCGCCGAGGCATTTGGTCCTTCTACTGCTGTCGCTGCTGCTTCTGCATCGAAACCCAACTCTCCAGCTCTCTGCAGTCCACACCTGTCGGAATCTGAAATGGCAACGTTCGTGTCGGTAAGTTTTCAATTCTTGCAGCATTGGATGCTGTCAGCAGCTCGGGTCAGACCTGCTGACCTCTGCACTGGTGGTCTGTTTGAGCCTTGTGCAATCTAGGCGGCTTGTGTCACTGGTGGCTGTAATATTTGGTAAAAATTATATTCCACTGTAAAAAATTGTAAAACTCCACTTTAAAATGTATTTTTATTGTTGGTATGTCATAAGGATAGCAGTGTGTGCACTGACTTTAAATTCCTGTATTACTACTACTCCCTAATAAAAGTAATGTGTCATTACTTTTATTAGGCAAAGGCATATAAATGTTTTATATATTTATATGCCTGTATTTTTTCCATACATCAGAGAGTATTGTGAAAATGTGAGTCAGAGGTTGGACAGAGTCAGCAAGTCAAAATGCACTCCCGTCCTGTCGGCGTCCATAGTCTAAATAGGTGCAACTGCATGGCAACAGCCATTCTTCACTCTTTCATAGGCCCTAATCTTGCAAACACTCAGCTACGTCTGAACAGTCTCTGCTCTAAACTGATTCATGTCCTGCCAAGAGTTTGTGAGATTCTTGAGTCTCATGTCTTCTGAGCGCGTGGTCATGACTCGCAAGTCTAAGTGTGTAAAATGGAAAATGATGACGGCCGATCCAATGAGTCAAGAATTCTGGTCACTCAATGTTAATGTTCTCTTATGCTTTGTGTTCCAGATGGCGACCTGTCACGCCTGCAACAAGACATCCAGACACAGAGGAATGGACAGGGATTTTATAGCTGCTCTGGCCAAGACCCACAGCACTCCACGGAGTGGTGGCAAACACAAGACTCCTCCGTCCACCAGCAGACCCAACATGTCCACACCCAAGACTCCCGCCAAAGACAAGACACCTGTTCACACACCTCGGTAAGTTATACAAGATCGCTGGTATTAATATCTCCTGAGGAGATGGTTCTTGTCGTCGCAGGAAAGAAATGTGGGGCATGTCTGCCTGTGGATGTATACATTACTATTTGTCCAGCTGCAGCTAACTGTACAGTACGGGTGGTACGTGCTGCCACTCACTCTCTCCAGATCAAATATTCATTGACGCTGCATGTTTTAAAACTTTTCCACCAATCAACAAAATGCCAAGATGCTTTATTTTCTACCTCCCTCGCCCCTCTCTCTCTCCAGGTCATCGTCCTCTTCTAACACTCCAGGCTCCGGATCATCTTCCACCAAGTCTGCATCTAAACCTAAAAACTGGGTCGTCCAGCGTCTCAGCAAGATCCTCATGAAGGAGGACACCAAGGGCAACAAGAAAGGCGGCTTAAAAGACTTTTTATCCTCACTTTGAATAATTCCAATGTTGTGACCCCCCATTTCGTATCTTATTTGTACCAAAGGTAGAGCTGAGGAAAGTGTCTTTGGTTGCTCAGCCTGCGTGGGATGGGTTACAGTTTGCCCACCAACACGGCTATTGCTGGACTGTGCGGAATGTCGCTCCTGGAATCCTGAAAGCAGGAACTGGGAGCACTGGTCTGGTCTGGTTATTTTGACTGTTAGTCAGAGTTGTTTCATCCTTTGCCGTGCCTGTCAGAGGAGAGCGCTGTTTTGGTTTTTGTTTTTTGGCTAATGCAGCACGTGCCTCTCGGAGCCTCTTCTACTGAGGATATTACACTCAGTATTTAGGAAACGCCACAAAAAACACTTAAATTTCCGTGGTAGTTTGTGGAATTAAAAAGTGATTTATATACCATTTATAATTTTGGTATTTGATTGCTAAAAATACAGTCAATTTACACTTTTTATGGATTGTATTTGTATTACAACTTGAGATAAGAACTTTTGTATTAGACTATGTTTACTTATTTTTTACACTTCGTTACGGACGGGTCTATATTTTGACAGAACTACAAATGTTCTTAACAAGATGTTATAAATCAGTTGTTTTATTTTTTTCTAATACGCAAACGTGATGTTGAAGCTGTGACAGTAACCAATGCTATTTTTAAGTGTTGTTGAAAGGGACTCACAAGTTGTTGTTTATTTTATATTCAATAGGCAAATTAGCCTAAACTTACACACTTAAGGCTTAAAACAAATATTTTCTTGTGCTTTTTACTGTCTTTGGATATTTTTTGAACATTTTCTTTATTAATTTCATAAAGAGCAAGAACTTGGAAAGCTCTGTAAGATTTACTACTGTATTTTGTACTTGTTGTTCACTGGATGTTCAGTGTAGTGTGTGTACAATGTTTGTATCCTGAGATACCTCACATTTATAGGGTTTAGGGTTTTTTTTTTGTTTTTTGTTTTAACTTAAGCACCAGTGTTTGTGTTCATTGTGTTATGTTAATTTTAATTTGGGCTTTTGGGGAACTTTGTACATAACAGGTTGCTTTAAATTTTCCATTTGCCATTTATATAAGTTATGCACTTCAGCTGCATTTGTTTTCCAGTTAATTGTGTCTGTAAATATCACAGTAGTCAGTGATATTACTGCAGTTTCTGGGCTCAAGTGAAAAGAAAAACAACATCCGCAGTAGACGGTGAATGTTTGTAATACCACCTTCGTCCTGCAGAAGTCGCTGTCCATTAACATAACAACTGAACTACACAGGAAGTACAGCAGTTCTACGACTATGTTATGCTAGCACCCTGAGCAACATGGCATTAGCAACGTAGCTGTGTGCGTTTGCTGCTAATTAACCACGCATTTCGCTGTTTTTTATTATTTTGAAGTTGCTCTGCTTAACATTTAATCAGAAAAAATGTCCGGCAGAAAGCGAACTAGAGAGAAGGAGGAGAGACGAGAGCACAAGAAACACAAGACTTCTAAACAGGACTTAGAGAAACTGGAAAAACAAACGAAAAAACTCAGCCAAGATGTCCAGAAACTTAAACACGTAGAGACATTGTAAGTAACATTAATTAACAACAACGACAACTTTATAATATAGAAAAAATAAATGTGTCTTCCTTCGCTCTAATTTATTTAATTATTTGGCTAATTTGCCGCTGCCGCTTTGTTTACAGTGTTTATATCTACACTGTTAATTATGTTTGCTTTTATTTTCGTTTCTTTTAGCTATGAAAAACCTCCACCTGGATACATCAAGGTAAACATGTTGTCTCTAACAATAAGTCAATTTATATGGAAAGGAAAATACATACCACACCTTTCTGGCAGCTCACAGTTGCTGCCGAGATATTATATTAAATATTATCAAGCTGTGCCATAAATACTGTCAAATCGGCATCATTGAAAAGGAAAAAGTTGTTAAAATTGCCTGTGCTGGACCAGAACATGCTGTCCTTTACAACCATCATTGTGTCTGGTGCATCTGGGTTTGTAATTGTCGATGTCTTTTGCCAACTTGCCGTACTGGGGATGTATTTTAATGATGAAGAACATCTTGTTTCATTCATGTCTCATTTTTATTAAAGTCTCGGAAATTCCATTAGTTTCAGGTTTTCAGGGATGCACGCAACTTCTCCTGCACACATTTGTCTGACTTTTGTTTTCATTTAAATAAACCAATATAAAATATGCATTTGCATTGTAAATCCAACAGTATTTGGACATAATATTTTAAAGGATGGCCATGACCTGATGTTATACCTGTTCATGTCTGTCATTGC